CCATGTAATATTCTGGGATATATACACACAGAGTGTGGTTTGGGACATATTGAAGTCAAAACATTTTTTTTCTCCCTCTAAAAGGACACTTTATTGGTTTAAATTTTCTGAATCAGATTCATAGGTTAATAACAAATATGCTTCAAATAACAAATTATTCTCATCCTAAAATGGAAAGATATGTAATTTTCCTGCCTTCCCTGAAAAAATTAAACATTTAACTTTCCACATCTAATAGTTGTGCTCACTAAAGGAATTGCTGTCACAGACAGAATAGTTCTGATCATTGATTTAAAAATAGGTATTGCATTTTAAACTCTATATTAAAACAAGTTTCATTTCAAGTCACTTTCATTTCTCCCTAGGAACTATTATGCTCATAAAAGATATGCAAACTCCACCTACTATAATTGTGCCCTTAACACTTTAAAGAATGTCCAAATTATGTGGAATGGACCATAAGAGAATAAAAATGCTTAAAATATTTTGTGTCTAGAAAATTAACTAGGACATTGTATATTGTATACAGAGCATGCACGTGTTATATATAACATAAATGTACATATGTATACATGTAAAATGTCTGTTGACTAGTGTGTATGGGAATTGATTTTACAGTTACCAAAAGAAAAGTTTTTGTTGTAGTATTTGGAAAGCCAATTTATCTGATCTAGGCTTACTTTTATGCTTCTTAATTTTTGATTTTGGGGAATCCTTTTATATCAAAGCCTACAAATCAATTTTTATGATTCTAGAACCTAGAATTTTTGTTAAGAGTTATTGATGATTAAGAGTGTTAGTCTAGCTTAGAGATGTCCAATAATTTATTAGAGATGACCAATAAATTACAACATAAGCCACATAATGGAATTTTAAGTTTTCAGTATTCACATTAGAACAAGTAAAAAGAAACAAATGAAATTAATTTAATGAGATATAATAGTATATTCAAAAGAGTATATTGTATTTCAACATGTAATGAATAGTTTTGAAAACTGAGTTAGTTTCTTTTTTGTCCTCACTAAGGTCTGTAAATCCCAGTGTGTATTTACACTTACAGCACATCTCAATTTGGACTGACCACATTTCAAGGGCTCACTAGCCAGTGTGACCAGTTGCTATGCATATCCAGCCCATCTCTTAATATTAATATGTGGAAGCAAGGATTTTTCACAAAAATAAATACATCACTTGCCTCTGTTTTTTTTTCTTTTATTACATAGGAATTATGACTTTTTTATTTGTTTTATTTACTAATTCATACACATGATGAAAAGTTACAGAAACAACAAGCAGTTCAAAGCAACCTGCCTCCCAATGCTCCTCTCTAGCCTTCCCAGTCCTTTTCCTGGAGCCAGGCGTTATTACCATTTGCTGTATATTCTCCCAGGGCTGACTCTATACTTTTGTAAATGTACAGGTGTGGCATTCTTATATATAGTGTTCTGCAGCTTGCTTTATTTCATTTAATTACTTGGAAGTCCTTCTATTTAAAAATATCCGTTATTTCCTTTTGCGATTGAAAAAGATTGTGCGTACATCATTTAACACATATATGAGCATACTTGTTAGATAAGTTGTTAAAGCTAAAGGGTCAAAAAAGTTTCTCTACTTGAAAACATTTATTCACAAAGATGCAGGCCCCCATGTGTTCATTGCAGCATTATTCGTGGTGGCCAAGACATGGAGACAACCCAAGTGTCCTTTATTGGAGGATTGGATAAAGAACATGGGGTACATACATACAATGGAATACTATTCAGCCAAAAGAAAAGATGAAATACTGCCATTTACCACAGCATGGTTGGACCTTGAGAATATTATGCTAAGCAAAATAAGCTTAGTCAGAAAAAGCTAAGAACCATATGGTTTCACTCACACGTGGGATATAAAACTGAAACTTACAGACACAGACAACAGTATAGTGGTTACCAGAGGGAAGCGGGTGGGGTGGGGGGATGTCAAGGGGGCCAAATGTTTGGTGACAGAAGATGATTTGATTCGGGGTTGTGGACACACAATGCAATATACAGATCATGTAGCATACATGTGTATATATGAAATCTGTATGATCCTATTAACCAATGTCACCCCAGTAAATTTAATAAAAATAAATACATTTTTTACAGTTTCTTTGAAATTCTGTAGATATTGCTAAATTGTTCTTCATGGTATTAGTATTAATTTTGACTCCCAAGAACCATGCAAGGAAGTATCTATTTCCCTACATGCTGGCCAACGTTGTGTATTATCAAACTTTGATCTTTGGCAATTTGAGAAAAAAAGGTTTCTTGTTCCTGTTTTAATTTGCATTTTTATGAGTGATTCTGGATATATTTTTTAATACTTAAGAGCTATTTGCATCTTGTTTTTTGTAAACTGTCCATGTCCTTTGCTCATTTTTTCTATTGCATGATTAGGCTTTTGTTGATTTGTATGAGTTTTAATTTGTCAGTTTGTGGAGTTTTACATATTGAGAAAAGTTTTAGGTGACTTTTTACTTTGCTTATGGGTTAATTTTTGCATGCTTAAATTTTACTGAACTTTTCTACTGTTTTCTTCCTTTGAGGTTTGTGCCACAAAGAACTTAGTCAGTCATTAGATTATTTTTTTTAAGTTTCTTAAATTGCTTTTAATTTAGGGGGGGTGTTCTTCATATTTAAATTTTAAACCCAGCTTGTGTTCACTTTGGTATAGGATGTAAGTGATAAATTCAATTTCATCATTTTTTTTCAGAAGACTACCCAGGTGTTTCAAAATCATATTTATTTGAAATGTCACTGTTACCTCAAACCATATTTCTGTTTGTATCGATTTCTGGACATTCTGTTCAATTCCATTGGTCTTATTAACAGTCTCTTACCTATCAGTGTGCAAGTACAGGCTGTTTTAAGTACGGTAGCTTTCGTTCCTTTTAATTATCTTTTCAATTGGCTACTGTCCTGTCAAGGCCCCATTATGATTCTTTTTCAGATTATTCCTGGCCACCCAATTTATTTTTCCCCATGAACTTTAGAGTCAGCTTCTTTAATCCTCAAAACATTCTGCCAGCATTTTTATTGGGAGTACATTAAACAAAGAGATTCTTTTGACAACTCTAAAAGAATCATATACCTTTCTGCTCATTTTAAACTTATATTCAAATGAGTCCTCCATATTTCTTTTTAAGTGTATTCCAGTGTTTTATAAATTTTTTTATTACTGCATTTTATTCCATTAAAGTTTCCAGCTGGTTTTTTACACCAAAACCCACTTTTTTATACCTTTATACACCAAAGCTATTGATTTTTTTTCCTTCAGCTATTTTACTGAATTCTCATCAACTCTTTCAGTTGATTCTCTTGGTTGACCAGTGTGCAATCTTATTATCTGCAAATAATGATAACTTTAGTGTTGCTTTCCAGTGCTAATATCATATTTTTTACGTCTATTTTGTCTTGGTTGGTAAGCAACAGGTATATTAATAGAGCTTCTTTTATAGCCTTAAAAGCAAAGTAGTCTTGTTTTCTTTTTCTTTTCTTTCCGATTCTCTCCCCAATGGGAAAGACTGTGGGAAAATAAAGCATGTTCATATCATGAATGGGGCAGCATTCACTTTATATGATGGATCATTTGTGGTTTTGAGTGCCCATTTCTTTTTGCTTTTTCTTTCATTTGGACTTTGAAATCTCCATCAGTATTGGTCTCAAAAATGTTTGAATGAATGGATAAAGAAATGATCACAAGATGAGCAAGTTTGTATCAATGTAGTGAAACTGACTGGATGCTTACTTTATACTAAACACAAACATGAACAGAAAAAAATATTCTTAAAGTTTATAGTCCAGAAAAAGAGTAAATAAAATATAATTGAGTGTGATATGTTTAGGGGTAGACCATATAAAAGATAAAGAAACAGCAAAGAAATGGGAATGATTAATTCTCTTGGAAAATCAAAGAAAGAATCCCAGAGGATATGATATCTGAGATCGTTTTAGAGGGATACGGAGGAGTTACTGGGCAGATACGGGGACTAGGAAGGCATTCCAGGCAGACAAGACAACGATGATGGAGGTCTGAAACGGCTTACTGTGTGTATTTATAAGCTGTTCTTATAGTTGTAATGTAACCTGTGAGAGGAAGTGGGAGGAGAGAACAGTGGAACTCTGCATGTGAAAAACCATTTATATTAGAAATTCTCAATAGAAGTGGGCAGCCAGGCCTTGGAGAAGAAAACATAGATTCGCCGAGAAAGGGCATTTTGTAAACTGCACTTTTCATCACTGGCCCATCACCTGGGATGTTAACACTAAAGGGAGTGTGCCTTATACTTCAGGTGTGTTTGGGTAAGAGCACTTGAGCACTACTGGGGCAGACAATATAAAGCCCGTGAAGTGTGTTAAGGGGGGTATGACGTCGGATAATGCATTTTAGAACCTTCTCTTTGATAACAATTTGAAGGATCCTTGGGGACTGGGAAGAGGACAGGCTGGGCTGGGGGAAAACTCTTTAAAAAAGCTACTGCAGTCAATAATGAAGCAAGATAATATAAATCTGGCTACCAGGTGGCAGCGAAGAAAATTCAAAGAATATATAGGGAATGGAACTGACAGTTTAGCAAGTGATTTGCTATGTAAAGTGCTAGAGAGGGCAGAAAGGAGGTCGTCTTTCTCCATCGTTCTTAGCATTTGGACACAAAGAATTCTTTGGGAAGGAAGTTAATGATATTTACTGACGCAGTATGAACTTCCCATGTTAGCTGGTGATTTTGATCATCTTTGTTCTCTATGACCATGAATACTTGACATTTGCTTAGAAGACGAGAAATTATTTCTTGAGTAGCTACCAGTTTTCACTCTGAAACATGAAAATGAGTGTCACAATATGCTGTGTCTAGGAATTCCAGTATTATTAATGACAGGATTATTCTTTAAGATGCATTATTAGTGTTAGATAGGAACTTTAATTTTATAAGTGTTACCGTATTAATGAACTTTCATTTTTATTTCCATGCTCTTCAGCATTCACTCGGAGGGCAGCCTTGTGGATGGCCCCGGAGCAAGCCTGATGGAACAGGAAAGAACCAGCCATGTGGAGGGCAACAGACTAAGTCCATTCCCGACACCATCTCCTTCTCCCATTTGCCAGACAGAACCTCTGGCTGTAAAGCTCCAGAATGGAAGCCCTTTAACAGAGAGACCTTATGCAGAAGTAAATGGAGACACCAAGTGGCAGTCTTTCAAAAGTTACTTCGGAATACCCCCTATGAAGCGATACCAGGGTAGCCGTGTGAGTCCAGACTTTATACAAGAAGGCAGAGGGTATTCCAAGTGTTTGCAGAATGGAGGAATAAAACGCACAGTTAGTGAACCTTCTCTCTCTGGGCTCCATCAGAACAAGAAATTGAAACAAGACCAAAAGGCCAATGGAGAAAGAAAGAACTTCGGGGAAAGTCAAGAAAGAAATCAAGGCAAAGGCAGCAGTCAACCAAATGTCTCCGATTTGAATGATAAGAGAGAATCTGTGAGCTCTGTGGCCCCAGAAAATGCAGTAAAAGAGTTCACCAGTTTTCCAGCACATAACTCAAGTGGGTCTGAAAATCCAGAGCATCAGATTCTGAATGAGCAGGAGGGGAAAAATGCTAACTACCATGACAAGAACATTGTATTACTTCTTAAAAACAAGTCAGTGCTAATGCCTAATGGTGCTACAGTTTCTGCCTCTTCCATGGAAAACACACATGATGAACTCCTGGAAAAGACACTGTTTCAATATTATCCAGGTTGTGTTTCCATTGCGGTGCAGAAAACCACATCTCACATACATGCCATTAACAGTCAGGCTACTAATGAGTTGTCCTGTGAGGTCACTCACCCATTGCATACCTCAGGGCAGATCAATTTGCCGCAGACCTCGAACTCTGAGCTGCCTCCAGAGCCAGCGGCAGTGGTGACGGAGGCCTGTGCTGCTGGTAACGTCAGTAAACCAGCTGCAGTGCTAGGGACCTGTTCCTTTCAGAAACCAGAACAACAAAAATCAGTTTTTGAGATATGCCCATCTCCTGCAGAAAACAGTAACATCCAAGGAACCATAAAGGTAGTATCTGGTGAAGAATTCTGTTCAGGTTCCAGCAGCAATTTGCAGGCTCCTGGTGGCAGCTCTGAGCGATATTTCAAGCAAAACGAAATGAATGGTGCTTACTTCAAGCAGACCTCAGTGTTCACTAAGGATTCCTTTCCTGCCGCCATCACACCACCACCATCACAATTGCATCCTTCTCCCCTCCCTCCCCTCCCAGAGGCTCCTCAGCTTCCTTCAGAAGGAAAAAGCACTCTGAACGATGGCGTTTCAGAAGAACACCATCACTACTCCAACCAAAGTAATACAGCTCTTTTAAGGGAGGTGAAAATAGAGGCCCAACCCGAGGCACCACCACCCCCGAGTCCTAATCCATTGACACATGTGTCCAGCCGCTCCCTGGCACTTCCAGAAAGGCTTCGGAATAATTGTGTTAATAAGGATGACATACGGACTCCAGGGACAGTAACGGTTCCAGCGTGTCCTGAGAAAACAAGGCACATAGCAGAACATCTCAAGCCTAGCCCACCAATTCTTGCTCGCAGTGGAGTTCCACAGGACCACTTCCAGCAGTTGATGGGGCACAAAGAGCAAGAGATTCTGAAGGGTCAAGACAGGGAACCAACACAAGATCTTGTGCTCCCAACACAGCCCTTCCTGAAACCAGGATGGATTGAATTGAAGGCCCCTCACTTTCATCATCAAGCAGAATCCTATCTAAAATATAATAAATCATCACTGCGGTCAATTCTTCAGTATCAGTCCAACTCCTCCAATCAAATGACCTCCAAACAATACACTGGAAGTTCCAACGTGCCTGGGGGGCTCCCGGGACAAGCTCACATCCAGAAGATGGTGCAGCCAGAGCAGGGGCCGCAAAGGTACCAAGTCGAGATGAATCAAGGGCAGTCTCAAGGTACGGTGGACCAGCATCTCCAGTGCCAGAAACCCTCACTCCAGGTGCACTTCTCCAAGACAGACCCTTCACCCGAAACTCACGTGCAGTTCCTGTGCACCCCTAGGTTTCATTTTCAGCAAAGGCCAGATTCCCAAACTGAGAAACGCATGCCCTCGTCTTTAAAGCCACACTTGAATCAACAGGCTTCAGAGACTGAGCCATTCTCAAATTCTCACCTTTTGCAACATAAACCTCATAAGCAGGCAGCACAGACACCCCAGATTTCACATCTCCCTCAAAACCAGCAGCAGCAAAAATTACACATGAAGAATAAAGAACAAATGCCCCATGTATTTTCCCACCCCCAAGGCAACAATGCTCAGCAAAGAGAAGGATCACTCTTTAGCCAAATTAAAGTGGAAGAATGCTTTCACGGTGAAAATCAGTATTCAAAATCAAGAGAGTTTCAAACTCATAATACTCAAATGGGGTTGGAACATATACAGAACGTGAATAGCAGAAATTCCCCCTATCGTCAGATCTTGAAATCAAATGCAAGCAAAGTACAGATTTCTTCTTCCAACAATACTCACCTAGCTTCAGAGACTACAGAACAGACTATAAATTCAGAACTTTTTGCAGGACACAAGACCCCAAACTTGCATCACATGCAGTTTTTTCCAAATAATGTGACCCCAAAGCAAGATGCTCTTCACAGGTGCTTTCAAGAACAGGAACAGAAGCCTCAACAAGTTTCAGTTCTACAGGGATACAAAAGTACAAACCAAGATATTTCTGGTCAACAAGCTGCACAACTTGCTCAGCAAAGGTACCTGATACACAACCAAGCAAATGCTTTCCCGGTACCTGACCAAGGAGGAAGTCATATTCAGACCCCTCCCCAAAAGGACATTCAAAAGCATGCTGCTCTAAGGTGGCACCTCTTACAGAGGCAAGAACAGCAGCAAACCCAACAATCCCAAACTGAGTCTTGCCATAATCAGGCACACAGGCCAATTAAGGTTGAACCTGGATGCAGGCCCCATGCCTGTATGCACCCCAAGTCAGCACAGCCAGAAAACAGAACATGGAAAAAAATAAGCAAGCAAGAGATTCCACCTCCAATCTGCGATAATGTGCAGCAGAGGAGCATTCTTGAGACCATGGAGCAACATCTGAAGCAGTTTCAGGTCAAATCGTTATTTGACCATAAGGCTCTTACTCTCAAATCACAGAAGCAAGTAAAAGTTGAAATGTCAGGGCCAGTCACAGTTTTAACTAGACAAACCACTGCTGCAGAACTCGATAGCCACACCCCAGCTGTAGAGCAGCAGGCAACTCCCTCTTCAGAAAAGACACCAACCAAAAGAACAGCTGGTTCTGTTCTCAATAATTTTTTAGAGTCACCTTCCAAATTACTAGATACTCCTATAAAAAATTTATTGGATACACCTGTCAAGACTCAATATGATTTCCCATCATGCAGATGTGTAGGTAAGTGCCAAAAATGTCCTGAGACACCTGGTGTTTATCCAGAATTAGCAAATTTATCTTTCGATATGGGATTTTTTTTTAGTCTGGCAGCAATTTGTAAAGGCTCATAAAAATCTGAAGCTTACATTTCTTGAAATTACAAATGCTTGTGCTGTGCAAGAGAGAACTTCACTTACATTGAGTTTTTCCAGAATATTAAAACAATTGTGCGTGCTCATTTTTCCTTGTATTCAAACCCCTTAAAATACAAAGGTATCTGTTTTATATTAATCAGTCTTTAACTCTTTATATATCACCTTCTGGAGAGACAAGCCAGGCAGTAAAAACATCTATTAAAATGAGAGAAATAACTGCCATATGCAAACTAATATAGAAACTTTTAATATTTTTTTAATTCAAGGTTGAATTTATTAGTAGTTTTACAAGGTTAATTTCTAGATACGGGATAAATTATCTTCAGTCTTTGTGAGTTGGGAGAAATTGTAGTGCTGAACTTCTGAATATTCATGAAGTTGTCATTTCTCCATTTATACACTTGAAATATTGTGTGGTTTATATTCATTTTGATTCAATTTTCTCTTTAAAGTTTTGTCTTTGGTAGAAAATGTGTAATTTCTTTGAAACACATTTTTGTTAAAATTCAAGATACGTGACAAGTCTGTTAGAATAGGGAAACATTTTGCTGATGGACACAAGTTTTATACATATATATATGGAAATCTTAATTATGGCTACTCAGCTTAGATACGGTAGAAGACATCTGAAAGAAACAAATGTTAAGCTAATGTGGCTAATGGTCCACACACCCCATGTTATTCCTCTTACAACGGGACACCCCTCATTTTATAGATGAATGGAGGGAGGATGCCTACTGGCCCTTTGTGTGTGGTATTAGGTTGCCTCACTGGGCTAGAATGCTGCACGTCATAGATAATATTAGGTAAGTTCTCATCACCTTCGCTCCCTTCTCCTATCACCCTACCCCTTTCTCCCCCACTTTTCATCTCTGATAGTTTGCAGGAGCCTCTTCCTTTTACCTGACCCCTTCTCCAGGATATTTTCTCTTCATAAATTGTTCTAAGGTACATACAAATATGGGTCTGGACTCAATGTTTTTATTTTCAAAAAGAGTAATTAAATGTTGTGGGGAGACAAGATGATAAAAAAGTATCTTGACAATAAACCGAGCGATCTCCTGGGGGTGGGATAAGACAGGAAATTTTATTTTTAATCGTTTAACATTCAGGTAGTAGGCAGTATTTTAATTAGCTGTAAAAAACTATTTTAGTTTAAAAAAATTGGATTGTAGTTGATGTTACATATAATATACTATAATTCCCACACTGTTTTCTTTGTTTAGTTCCACATGTTTGTTATAAAATAATTTCTTATCCCATATCTGAAATGTAATTTAATATATTTTTATACAACAGCCAACATGTACATATACTTAATTATTTTGCACATTTTCTAATAGATTACTCCATTAATTTACTCATCCGAAAGAAAAAAAAAATGTATAAAGTCACATTTAGTGCCCTTAATGTGCAGTTGGGGGATAAGTTTTGTGGATGTAGCCTTTATATTTAGTATAATTGAGGTCTAAAATAATAATCTTCTATTATCTCAACAGAGCAAATTATTGAAAAAGATGAAGGTCCTTTTTATACCCATCTAGGAGCAGGTCCTAATGTGGCAGCTATTAGAGAAATCATGGAAGAAAGGTAATTAACGCAAAGGCACAGGGCAGATTAACGTTTATCCTTTTGTATATGTCAGAATTTTTCCAGCTTTCACATAAAAAGCAGTAAACAACTGTAAATTGAGTAATTATTAGTAGGCTTAGCTATTCCAGGGTTGCCAACACAACATGCTGTGCTATTCACCAGAGAGTCACAATATTTGACAGGACTAATAGTTTGCGAGCTGGCACAGGCTGCCCACCCCACATGGATGCCAAAAAACCCAGGCCTGAGCAAGGCCCGGCCAGCCTGCCTGCCAGGCGCGAGGGTGCTGGTGCAAGCTGCGGGGACAGGCCCACTCTAGCTCTCCCGTTGGTGATAAAGTGTCAAAGAGAATGAGGGGGGAAGTGTGGTATAAGAAAGGAACCATTGAGTTCAATTCACCTAAGGTTGTAAAGACATAGTTACCGCTAAGGAATTTGTCCCTTCGTGTGAGCAAAGGGCATGTGTGATAGACTGAGTAGGAATAGAGACATTCTGTTTATAGCTGCATTTTCTTTTTTACAGTCAGTCACAAGTACTTACCTGAATCTACACAGTTACTTCTGCATGTAGGAGACTCTTAAGAGTGAGATAATCAATGCAGAGAGACTTTCATATAGGTACCCACGGCTCTTGAGCTGTTACTGTGCAGGGCATCTTATCTTTAAGAGGGAGGAGACATCCTGGGCAGCACAGATGTATTCCACATCATTCTTGCCCCATTTCCAAATTACTTATTTCTAAGTTAGCATGCAGAAATTCACTCAATCATTTAGTATTTTTTTTTTTTATTAACAAGTAGTAAGTAGTACCTTGGTCGTAAGGGAAAACATAATTTATTTCTAGAACTATGCTGTATTTTCAGAATTGCTAGATACTAGTTATTTGCCAACTTCCTTTTTAAAAATGTGAGCAGTTCTTTGAGAAACAGTTTTAACTAAAATCTGTTATGTTTCCCTAAGTTTTAAAATAGCTAAATTTAGTAAAGAGCAAAAAGCAAATAGTACATATCTTAGGAGACTGAATTTAGCAAACTTAAAAAAGTCTTGTATTTTGTGAAATTTTGTGTAAAACTAAGCTTTCCCATTATTTTCACCCAATTTATAATTTCAAAATAGTTCATTACAATTACCAGTATATTTTGATACTGAAGAAAAACAAGGCTTAAAGTCTGTTACCCAGTTTGCTTGGCTTAGACCTGTTTTCTTTTTTTTTGTTTATTTTTTTTTTTTAATAAAGTAAACCATTTATTTCTCAGCATATGGTAATAGAGTAAGATTATGCTCAAATGTTCAATATTTTGGATGTCTCCTAGATTCATTTGCTAATTTTATGTGTGTGTGTTTCTGTGGATTTCTTTAAGGTTTGGACAGAAGGGTAAAGCTATTAGGATTGAAAGAGTCATCTATACTGGTAAAGAAGGCAAAAGTTCTCAGGGATGTCCTATTGCCAAATGGGTAAGTGTGATTTGACGGGGCTTTTGGTCTTCAGTCTTAGCGTTTTGATTCACTAAACTAACCCTGAGAATTGAGTTACCCAGATCAAGGAGTCATCTATGACAGTTAAAGGGATTATTGCTTACATTTATTTTATCATGTGTTATCTTTATAATTATGTATTAACCATATTTAATTGAAAGAATTGAGTGGTGAGGAGAAGGTCCATTTAAGTACCTGCAACAAGTGTAATTCTTCCTTTAAACATATACTATCAGTTAATCTTTATATTGTCATTTATGAAAACCTTGAACTTTATGAAAAAGACCTGCATGTCTTCCCTCTAGCTCTGGCTTAGCTATTCCAGGGTTGCCAGCACAACATGCTGTGCTATTCACAAATGTTTAGTCAGTCTGCCAAACATTGAGCAGTTCTGACCCCAGAGTAAACCCCCACTTTGTACATGGGCAACAAAAGACGAGTTGCAGGCGGGGGTAAATGTTGCCCTCACTGTGTCCCAGACGTGAGAAAATATGCATGCATAAATCAAGGCTGACATCTGCTGCAAGTGACCCTTGTTTTGTTTTGGTTGGGGTGGTGGGTGGTGGGGTGGAATGGTGACCCACACAGGTGGTGCGCAGAAGCTGCAGTGAGGAGAAGCTGCTGTGCTTGGTGCGGGAGCGAGCCGGCCACACCTGTGAGGCTGCCGTGATTGTGATTCTCATCCTGGTGTGGGAAGGAATCCCCCTGTCTCTGGCTGATAAACTCTACTCAGAGCTCACTGAGACGCTGCGCAAATACGGCACGCTCACCAACCGTCGGTGTGCCCTGAATGAAGAGTAAGTGAAGCCGGGGTCTCTCCTCTTTTTCCACTGAGAGAAAAGCCTGACCTCTGGGTGGAGGGAAGAGAGCTGAACCTATGTTTTTACATTTATAAAATGAGGATCAAAATGCGGCTTCACGGTCATGCAGTTGGAGGTTGTGCTTGCTGGCATGGACAGCTTGAGATGATTTCTTTAATATTTTGTGCCTTCAGACAACATAGCCATTCCTGAGGGCCAACTAGCTTGAGTGTCTGGTATCCACATGGATTCAATCAGACAGACCATAAACTTGAAAATACTTGTGTGTCCACTTGCTGCGTATGACAACTCTTGTGTGTGCTTGACCATCACATTAGTAAGTATTGACACTCCTCTTAAGTGGCAGTATTTGAAACAGGAAGTAAGTTTAGTGAGAAACTAGGATTCCCAGGTCAAGAACCTTGATTGTATATGTATCAGTTGAAAATAGGAGGCCTGTAGAAGTTATAGAGAAAAAAATTTTGACTTCCATTTAAACTAGTTCATTATCTCCACAATTATCAGAATTGCTTCCATTTTTACTATGACTAAATCAAAAATTTAATGGCTATGGTTATGCATTTTTTTCTAAGAATATAAATATTTGGGATAAAAAAGCAGGGTTTTGCAGTTATGTATATTTAGTGCATCCAAGTATTAGTATGTTTCTATCTTTTGTTTGTTTTTAACCTCTCTGCTTGGAGGAAGTTTAAATCTTCACTTGGAGAGAGCCCCATTTTATATTATTCCTCTGCTATGATATTCCTGTATAACATTCAAAGATTAGAGGATAATTCACCATACTACACTGAAATCTAACAGTACTTATTTTTACTCACAATTGTTTCTAAAATAATTTTAATTTTGCACTTCTTTCTTTAGTCTCCTTTCCTTTGTATCCACCAAACTGCGAAGTAGTTTGCTGAGCTTACAGAAATACTGTGCCGCTCACTGCACCAACCCATTGCTAACTGAATTTGGTTTTTTGCTATTACTCTAACTGGTACCATTTTACTAACTTTATCTTAAAATAGGTTCTCTCTCTGGGTCATGAAGGAGTGTAAATCAACTATATATAATCTGTTTAGAGAAGTTACTTTTTCTACAGTTTTCTACATGAAATTGTTACTTGGCTTTCCATAGTAGTTATTATCCAAAAATGTCATGGAGTGCACCTCACTGCCGTAATTTTATTTTATGAATGATAAGGTGGAAAGTAGAAGTTGCTGATTCATAATACAACTCAAGCTTATCATGAACTGCTTTAGGTGTAAAATACTCTTCAGCTTACCCTAACTGTCCTTGTTTCTCATTTTAAAAATTTAAAAATTTTTCAATTAAAAAATTTAGGTGGCTTGAATCAAAAAGAAAATGAAAGTTAAGGCACCTTGAGCTAATTGTTGGTGATAGCATTTTTTACAGTAATTCAACAACACCACCTTGTATCTTTTAATCAGACTCCTCCTTGTAGACTTGAGGGCTTGAACTTCCAAAGCACTGAAGAACTTGTGAAAATGACAGTTGTTTCATTTAAATTTCTTAAAGTTATATGCAAACTATATTTCATATTCTTTGTAATTGATTTAATTTTCATTAATATTATATACCTCTGGTATTTTTCCTCTTAAAGCTTTTCTTTAATTCCTATAAATGTCATTACCTGAAATGGAATCTGACAGGTAGAAGGAAATTCTGTGTAAGAACTCTCCTAAAGTGTGTTATATTGTATTTTGAAATGAGAACAATAATTGAGCCAGGCTCTAAAAGAATTATAATTAAAAGATGTACTTTAAATTAAGACATTTTAAAGGCCAGTCTATACTTTTTTCTTATCTTTGTCTAGAGTTTCAAGGTGAAGATGTGTAATTATTTAGATGAAATTTTAATTCTGGGCTACTCTCCAAACAGCAATTCTTCAAAAAATGTACTTGAGTAATATGGCTAAAATAGACACTTAACCAGTGGCAACAGAGACTTTACTCGATATACTTTTGAAGTTTCTTTTACCCCATAAAATAAATTTTATGTCTGACAGAAGTTAAAATTATGACTTTTTGCCAAGAATATAAGATAATATCAAATCAGAGCTGCTGGCTGAGTTTAATGTTCAAGGCTGAGTGAGACTCCTCTCTGAGTTCTGAAAATCCCGATGCTCACATGGACCATAACCACCCACTGTGGGTCCAGGAAAAAACTCTGAGAGCAGCTTTCAGTGGGACAGTCAAAAATGGATTTTCACATTTCTTTTGAGCCAAACCAGCTGTTTCTTCTTTAAAGATTTTGCTGTGAGATTTCCATTTTATGACTAAGCCTAACCAATAATTTTTTGGCAAATGAGTGTTGTGGGAGTGTATCTTTCATTATAAAAAAGGCAAAGCCAGAAATGCCTTCTGCCATGCTGGGTGATGTTCAACTTTTAAAGAAGCTTTATTTTATAGAAGTTTTCAAGTGCTCATTAAATGGAGGTATGTAGTATAACAAATCTCTATGGGCCTATCACTTAGATTCTATATCAACATTTTATCAATACTTTTTTGTATATTTTCCCCCACCCCCATTAGCATTTTAAAGCAAAACCATATCATCTCCCTTATGTACACTGCAGCATGTATATCTAACAGATGCCTTTTTTTACAAAGCCTAGTCACAGTGTCATTGTCATTCACCTTAAAATTAATAGTAATTTGTAAATAATCATTTAACGTTCAGACCATGTTCAAATTCCAAAATTGGACCCTATTTAAATTCATCATGCTTTTGAGTAGCATGGTCCCAGTTCATATCTATTATCTAGCATAATTGTTAATAGAACTTCTTTCATTCTCAGAAGTGTCTCATTTTGGAAAATAAGTTATTTTAATATAGAAGCCTCTTTTTATTTATAATAGTCTCCCTCTCTTTTTTTATGAATTTCGTAGAGAAACTGTTTTGTATGCCCTGTAAATTTTCCCATGTTCTGGATTTGACTAATTGCACACTTGTTTCATTTAACTTGTTCCTCTATCCTCTGTTCCTTCTGTATACTGGTAGTTGAAGACTTAAAGAAGTTATATGCAGAAATGCTTCATAAGTGGTGATGAATCAGTCTTAGTTCTTCTTATCTATCAGGAGGGACATACATCTGTTTTGATTCATTTATAGTGATGTTCAGAATGTTCAGTTAATTCAGGAGTTGTCAGCTTGATGCATCCTGTATGAATTTCCCCAGAAAGCTTCCACCTAATGATTTAGCCCCTCCATTGATGATCATTGCCTGTTTCCAATATTTTGTTAGAGTTTGAAAATTGATAATTTCCTTATTTTTAATGTATAAATTTAATTGTTATATACATTTAAATTAATTCATTTTGTGAGTTTTTCTATACTTGCATAAGTTTGAATATCTGAGCTAATTTTTAATTTTTTTCATTTAGAAGTCCAAATAGTAACTCAAAGGTTGAGAATGTTTTTTAAAATCTGTTATATAGACGAATTATTTTTATTACAATTACTCCACTGATTTATCATTTAACCATGAGTCAAATATTGTGACATTTAAATGAGGTTATGTGCTAATTCTAATGATATTTGAAAGGACCCTATAGAAATAAAAATGCCTTTAGTAGCCACTTCATGTAGGAAATTGCCTTAAAATCACTCTAACTTGTTCTGTGAGAATATTTTTAAGATATAATTCACATACCATAAAATTCACTCTTTAAAAGTACAATTCATTGGTTTAGTATATTCACAAAGTTGTACATTTTCATCACTCCCAAAAGGAAAACCCATATCCATTGGGCAGTTACTTCCCATTCTCCTTTCCCCTAAATGTCAACCAGTAATCAACTTTCTGTCTCTATAAATTCACCTGTTCTGGGCATTTCATATCAGTGGAATCATACAATATTTGGCCATCCTGTCTGGTATTTTTTACTTTGCATAATGTTTTAAAGGTTCACCCATATCATAACATTAATCAGTACTTTTATTCCTTTTTATGACTGAATAATAGTCTACTGTGAATATATACCACATTTTCTTTATCCATTCTCAGTTAACGGACATTTGGTGGTTTCCACTTTTGCTTATGAATAATGCTTCTATGAAAATCTGTATATAAGTTTATTTTTTAAAGATTTTATTTATTTATCTTTAGAGAGAGGGGCAAGGAGGGAGAAAGAAAGGGAAACATCAATGTATGGTTCCCTCTTGCGCAACCCCCTACTGGAGACCTGGCCTGCAACCCAGGCATGTGCCCCACCTGGGAATCCAACTGGCAGCCCTTTGGTTCACTGACCGGCACTCAGTCCACTGAGCCACACCAGCCAGGGCTGTGTATAAGTTTTTTTATCGACACATACCTTCAGTTCTCATGGGTATAGACTTAAGAGTGACATTGTTGGTCATATGGTAATTATAATGTTTAACTTTTTGAGGGGACAAAACCATTCTCCAAAGCGGCTGCAGCATTTTTTATTCCTACCAGCAGCATGTGGAGGTTCCAATGTCTCCACCTCTTCATCAAACCAGTTATTGTCCGCTTTTTTCCACTACAGCCCTCCCAGTGGGTATGCAGTGTATCTCAAGGACTGGATTTGCCTTTCCTCATGACTAATAATATCAGGCATTATTTCATGTGCTTTTTTCCATTCATGTACCTTCTTTTGGAGAAATGCCTACTTAAATCTTTGCTCATTTTTAAATTGTTTTTTGAATTGTAAGAGTTAATATATTCTGGATACTAGAACTTTATGAGATAAATGGTTTACAGATATTTTCTCTTATTTGTAGATTGTCTCCTTGAAGCACAAAAGCTTTTAATTTTAATTAAATCAAATTCATCTTTTTTGAATTAATTTTTTGTACTTTTAGCGTCATATCTGAGAAACTGTTGCCTAATCCAGGGTCTTGAAGATTTACATCAATGTTTTCTTCTAAGTATTATAGTTTTAGTTCTTACACTTAAGTCTTTGATCACCGTTTAGTTAATTTTATGTTATTACATAAGAGTCCGA